ATAATAATAATAATAATAATAGATTCTGTTGTGCCAAGGCAGAGCGACGTATCTGCACTTTTTATGATTTTGAGTTACGTCGCGCTGCCATTGGGAATATGGGCATGACCCTTCAGTTACTTCATTTTGTCACAGTGAAATATCCTATTTGTAGTGCAGATACGTCTCCCTGCCTTTGACACAAGATGCACAATGGGTAGCCTATAGGCGTCCATTTAAACGAAGTCGCAACTATTAATATTTTTTGCAGATACATCGGTCTGCCTTGTCACGGCAGAGATAGCATTTTGTATAGCGTAAATCCCCGCTCAACAGCGACCGCTATGCGCTTAACAATCTATATTATCTGCCGGTAAAAGCCGGTGAGGCAACATGACGGGAAGGCTGGTATAGGCCGGTATGGCTAAAACAAATTCTAAATTAATCAGTTGGTTGGTATAAATACCTTTGAAGGTGGTTGGTGTCCATTCGATTTTGTCGTAACCGCAGAGTGCAACAGGCATAATTATGTTCATGACACGTCATTCCTTAAAACCATTCGTTTCCTTCATGTCACAATTACAACTGGCAAGAAAAAAAAAACAACAACAACCACAAAAACCCCAAAAACAAAGCATTAATTTTTCTTGGCCTAAGGGACCCCCCCCCCCCCCACACACACACACACACAATCTGCCACACAATCACCGACATAACCAGAAAGCTTCGTGTACATTGCCAAACCCTGCTGAAACCCGATCTGGATTTCCCGAACGGAATCAGCAAATCATAAAAACGCTGGCAAACAGACAAAATGACTTACATGAAGAATGCAAAATTGGATGTCGCCTACCTCCATACTTCCTTTTTTTTTAAAAAAAACCACAACCCCCCACCCCCCTAAAAAAATAATTTTTAAACAGAAAAAAAACAAAACAAAACAAACCAACATCGAGAAAACAACGACATAGCAACAACAAAAATCTACAAGAAACAACAAAGCAAAAACAAAACAATCAGATGTTCAACAACTGTCATTCCAAAAAAAAGAAACTGGCTTTTCATTGTTTAGGTTTATTTCAGTGGCTTATCATTCCCGCTTTGTGCGCGTCATTGCAGTCTTTTTCTGTTCTTTTTATTATTATTATTATCATTATTATTATCATTATAATTATTATTATTATTGTTATTAGATTGTTTTATCTTTTTCTGCTTTGTTTTTTTTCTTCTTGATTTTGGTTCTCAGAGTTCGCGATTTACGAACTGCATACTTTGTACGAAGGAAAAAAAAAGGGGGGGAGGCTGAGTTTTTAAGCAAAAAATGCTTTTATGGACGCTTTCATTATTCTGGTCGTATCACCAGTAATGCCGAGTTAAGGCAATGTATAGAAGCAAGATTCTGTTTCATTCATGAAGAAAAACAGCGTCACTAGGTCAGGATACAACTCTCGAGTTAGGAGATGATGATATATGATTTGTCACACGACACAATGGAAGCAGGCGCTCGTCTTGGTTTTGTTTGTTTGTTTGTGGGGGGGGGGTGGTCCCTTGCCCATTTATATGAGATTGACGCCATCTGATTAGTTAAAAAAAAGAGTGCGCATTAGAGTGTCCAATAGTGTATTAGTTACATACTTAGTATGACAAGTAGCTGTTACAGATAGAGATTCAAGGATTGTAGATGTAAGTCAAGGATCTGATAGTAAAGATTGATTTTATAAATAATGATGGAGATGAGTGATGATGTGGGATTGCGTTTAAGTAATGTTAGCGTAGATTCTAAGTCGTATCTTCCTCTGCTCCAGTGAGTGTGAGGCGCTCGTCAATTTGGGGGCAAATGGAGTTAATTGTATCATCTTGATGTTTGTTCGTTTGTCTTGCTTTGGTGGGAAAAAATACCCATCGATCTTGATGTGCAATTGAAAGAGATCATGGGGGTCGCTGGTGTCACACATGGTAACGTTTAATCAGCGAGAACGGTCGTCAAAGTTTGGTGAGTTCCACAGCTTGAGTGTCCTGGACAAACTGCGACTTTACATTTTCTGAGCTTTTGATAAACGCTTCCAATTTTTTAAAAATCAGTTCAGAAATTCAAATGTGATTTTAAATGGACTTAACCCAATCCGTACGTCGTGTTTTTCTATAGTATCCATATGACGTGGGGAACTCTGTGCCTCCACTTTCCTAAGAGGAAATTTACTGGCTAATCCGATCCGTACACTTTGCACAGCAGTGTGTCAAAATGATTTTTGGAAAAATACTGAAAGTTTCAAAGAGATCTTCGCGCTAGAAGTATTCTAAGATGTGAAGAATACAACCCCGGGGGTATAAAATGACCACAGGGCGTACGAATAGGGTTAGAGGGTGTTGAGCCCAGCAAAAATTACAACAGTAAGAATTATATAAATTAAAATTGCCCACTCAACGAGCGAAAAAAAGCCAGTGTCATTGTTTCAACGAGCGCCTGATTTCACCACGACGCCTCACATGTAGTGGTGTGTGTGTGTGTGTGTGTGT